GGGAAAGATAGTGAATATATAATAAAAAATTATAATAAAAATTCATTTTTGCTTCGTAGAGCAAATTAATTAATGTTTGTAATCTTGGCAATTTTTTTGTAATATTTAAGAAATGCATCTGTTTGTTTAATTATATGATTTATATTTGTAAAAAAAAAAAAAAACTTTGATGTCGCATATTAGGAAAGATTTAAAAACGAGATCTACCGCCTGCGCTTGCGCATATGCGTAAGTCAGCTTTGTTCGTCAAAGGCACTGAACAAAGTTACGTTGTTATATCGTATAACATCTATGGTCTAGTTTCCATCGAAGTATTAATTCGCATCTAGTGCGGCCTAGGACTAAATTTAAGTTAATGGAAATACGACTGACTGCGTACATTTCACTCTCACTCCAATCTACAAGCTTTGTCGAAGTGGCAGCGAATTGACACGAAATTTAGACGGTGGAAACGCTTGAAAGTAAATGGTGCCAACCTTTACTTTTCATTATTTCGTAATCATCAATATATAGTCGATATATAGTCTATATGTTGATATTCGTAACAGTTACCGTTCGTTCGTATTAATTATCAAAATGGAAAATAAACGAGAAATTTGTCAAGAATGATGTTTACTTACATTCACAAGCAAATGTTAAGTTGGCTCTACTGAAATATCAATCTTCCTCGCTTCTATTCTACTTCCAGTGGAAACAGTGCGTTAAATTCGATGCGCACCGAAACCCGAATCGGATTGACGACTTCGGTGAAAACTAGACCTATGTTATATAAATGCTATGCTGCAGTCTGTGGTACAGTGTACAGTGTCAATGGCGTCTGTGCATAAGCAATTTCAAAATACGATTTGGTTGGATTTGATATAACCGTCGCTATCAATAAGGAGGTGTGAAAATTTCTGCTGACATTTGTGATTGATAAGAACCTGCGAAATGTCAGATGGCGAGGATGATTTCATGTGCGAAGAAGAGGAGGATTATGGCTTGGTAAGTTTTCCTTCGAAGATTATGCGAGTCTTAGTTTTGATTATTTTTCCGGCTCGCGGTGAGGTTAGGATTCTTGGAGCTGTCTATGTAACATTTAAAAATAGTTCGGGAGATGCCTTGTGAAAGGTCTTCTTCCATAATAAACTCCGTCCGTTGTTGAAAATCTTCGATTTTGTCCTGTGCAAATATGTTCGATCATTTGTTTATTTAGGTTATGTTCAACGCTTTTTCTTTAGTATTTTACTAGTATATTATTATTCGGCGAATATATTATAATTTTAACTGTTTTCTAATTATAACATATATTTTTTAGGAATATTCTGAAGATTCTAATTCTGAACCAGATGTAGATTTAGAAAATCAATATTATAATAGTAAAGCTCTCAAAGAAGATGACCCGAAAGCCGCTCTACAAAGTTTTCAGAAAGTATTGGATCTGGAAGGGGGGGAAAAGGGAGAATGGGGTTTTAAAGCTTTAAAACAGATGATCAAAATTAATTTTAAACTGGTATATGTCAAAAATATATTAGTAATATTGAGCATCCTATTCATTCAGCTTTGATTATATGTTATGAATTAAGAGAATGATCTTTTTAGTCCAATTACAAGGAGATGATGGCGAGGTATAAACAATTGTTAACTTATATTAAAAGTGCAGTTACTAGAAATCATTCGGAAAAATCAATAAATTCTATATTGGATTATATTAGTACATCAAAAAATGTAAGTACATGCAAATAAGCATGTCATATATTTTGTACTTTTATAAATTTGTTGCATTGTATTTAAATGATTTTATTAAGTATTTGCTTGAATTTTTTATTCATTAAACTTTCTTATTTATACAAATTTTTTTCAATTCTAAAGAATGGTGGGCATTTTTTTTTAAGATGGAATTATTGCAAGATTTCTATGAAACTACATTAGATGCATTAAAAGATGCAAAGAATGATAGGTTATGGTTTAAAACAAATACAAAATTGGGAAAACTATATTACGATCGTTCAGATTTCAATAAATTGGCAAAAATACTAAAACAACTTCATCAAAGTTGTCAGGTATGTATGTTTGTATATATATATAACAACGCATTTCAAACATATAGTACACACATATATATATACTTATGTATGTATTTAACATGTATACATATATTTTTTAGACTGATGATGGAGAAGATGATTTGAAGAAAGGAACACAATTATTGGAAATTTATGCCTTAGAAATACAAATGTATACAGCACAAAAGAATAATAAGAAATTGAAAACACTTTATGAACAAAGTCTTCATATTAAAAGTGCTATACCACATCCATTAATTATGGGTGTGATCAGAGGTAAAAATATGAAAATTTGTTAGAAATAACAAGATTTATACATATATTGTTGCTATATATATTGTTACTATATTTTTATAATGTGCATATATACTATTCAGAACATTAAAATAATAAAATGCTTGTATCTTTTTTCCAGAATGTGGCGGTAAAATGCATTTAAGGGAAGGTGAATTTGAAAGAGCACATACCGATTTTTTCGAAGCCTTTAAAAATTACGATGAATCTGGATCACCAAGACGTACAACATGTTTAAAGTACTTAGTACTGGCTAATATGTGAGTGTGATTATCCATTGTTTATTATTATAATTAATTAATGCATCCAATATATACATAACACTCATTTTAGGTTAATGAAATCTGGTATTAATCCATTTGATTCACAAGAGGCAAAACCATATAAGAATGATCCTGAAATTTTAGCAATGACTAACTTAGTTGTCAGTTATCAGAATAACGATATCAATCAGTTTGAATTAATTTTAAAACAAAATAGGAATAATATTATGGATGATCCCTTTATTAGAGAACATATTGAGGATTTATTAAGAAACATACGTACACAGGTATATCTTTCATAATTTTAGCTCGCATTAAGTGTGATAGTATCAGCAACAAAATTTACAATATTTTATTTTAATTCACTAGATGTTAAAATATTTAACCTATTATAAATCTGTGTATCTCATTTATGTTATATATTGTGATATTTTATTATTGCATATGGTTCTAGGTCTTAATTAAATTGATAAGACCATATACTAGAATTTATATTCCTTTTATAAGTAAAGAATTGAATATTGACGTTTCTGAAGTGGAAAGTCTTTTGGTATCTTGCATATTGGACAATACTATTCACGGTCGTATAGATCAGGTAATTACTATTATAATCTTTTAAAAATGACATTTGCACGCGCGGAATTATAATATTAGATTGTGTGCAACATTTTCTCTATATTTCTTAGGTAAACCAAGTTCTCGAGTTGGATAAAAAATCAGTATGCGCTGCACGTTACAATGCTCTCGATAAATGGGCAGGTCAGTTGCAATCCTTGCATACAGCCATTGTGAACAAAATGTCTTAAATGGCATGATGGGCACGTGATCCTGCAATAAATATGAACTAATTTCATTTTGTATAGTATATCATAAAAGTCCTATACAAATATACGAAGAAATAAGATCTATTGTGATATAATAAATTTAGCATTTTAGCACGGGAGTCATTCTTATTCCCGTTGAGAACGCTATCCTAAATCCCACATAAATAAATATAACAGCAGCTTATTAATTAAACACAAAAATAAAAAAAATAAATTAATACATAACTAGTTTGTACAGCCTAGTAAGAAAATACAATATATTTTTTATTATAATAATATAAAAAAAAAAAATCAATCTGGATTTAAGTCGTTCACAAATTTTTACGTAAGTAACCAATGCTCTTTTTCTGCAGGTAATAGATATTATTTAATATAACTCAGTCTTATTTTCTAAATTCTATTTGTTTAATTGCCTTCTATTTGTTTTATTGCCTTCTATATATGTATTGTTTTAATCATAAAGCATTTTTAATTTTCCAAATTCCAATAAGAATTCAATTATTCAATGTTAAATTTTAAATATTTTTTTTCGAAATTTTAGATGCAATAAAAACAAAAACCAATCAATTAAGTCAAATGATTTATCTTTTAGCATATCAGATAATTCAAGTAAAAAAATTCTAATAATAGCCCGAAAAAGTGGGTTTACTATACAAATCGAATATTAAGCTCACACACACAATCAGATATATATATAAGGCTCAGATAATTATATATTCTGTTGAAATTATGGTGTTAAAACCTGCGCCATGAAAAGAATTGAAAATTTTAAGAATAAAACATCTAATTTATCGCTAGATATTATATTATATTACACTATTACATGTATCGATAAGAAACCAATAGATTAAAATCAATTCTGTTCAGGGCCAAAACTTAAAAGTTTATAGGATAATGTATATAATAATAAATGTGATAAGGAGAATAACTATAAGAGTGTCAAATTTGAATTATTTATAAATAATTTCACCAAAAGAAAGATACACATTTATCTTAAGTTTAAGGCAAATGTAATGTCAATAATAAATTCATCTCAGGCAAAGAATCAATATTTACAACATCAATAGATACATCGATGAATAGAGAGGACATCGAAGATGACAAAGAGAAAGTATCATTTATTGCTAGATTGGAC